TAGACCTCACTGATGGGGCTAAACCCAAAACCATAACAGTCACGTGTATCAGGATTTGGAGGTGCTGGGAGAGATAAAAACTCGCCAGTAACTGGATTGGAGATGTGAAGATGACGGCTCAAGTCAAAATGGACTTCTTGGTGACAGAGGAAGCCATTGCACGAGCCTTCAATGGTCATACAAAGAGTTCGGAGACTTCTTATACTGAAAAGCTTCAAGGCAACGTCGTTTTGCCACCCGACCCTGTCGAGGTCGACCAAGAAGTGGCCCCAGCGCGAGCGGAAGCCAGTGACCATGAGGCAAGCGGGTGTTCGTGCAAACAGTTCTTTGGTGAATTGAGGGTCTGAGAGCCAAGAACGCCAAGACTTGCACACGCGCTTGCATTGGATGAGGGTTTTTGTAGGGATTTTGCAGAAGATCTCCATTATTATGTGCTCTGGCAAATGCAGAAGGTAGGGTTTCTGATCATGCTCTTCTTCATCGTCGTCGTCTTCTTGATTTGGGGGTCTGTTTCTTTTGGTTGGTGGTCGTTTAATTCTCTTCATTGATCGAAGCGGTGTCGTTGCGGTAGGCTGGCTAAGATCGGAGAAGCGCCTCACTCAGACACTCAGAGTTTGAGCTTGAAGAACGCTTCTTCAACCCAAGCTTGGGTAGAACCGAAGAGCTGAAATGAGTTAAAATGGGTATGAGCCGAAATGACTAGGAGCACTTCCAGCGCTCTGGGCTGGCCCGGTCAGGAGGGGCCCGAGGCCCTTCGCGCAGTTCCAAAGGGCTGCTGGTGGGGACCATCAAACTGGGCAAGCCCAATAGAGCCCGAGCTTGAGCTAATGCTTGAGGCTGATGACATCAGCATTGAGGCTAGGCTAGCATCAGTGCACGGGATTCAAATTTTTTTACCGTTGGAGCGTGGAAATTTCAAAATCACATGTGGGGTATGAGCCGAAATGACTAGGAGCACTTCCAGCGCTCTGGGCTGGCCCCGGTCAGGAGGGGCCCGAGGCCCTTCGCGCAGTTCCAAAGGGCTGCTGGTGGGGACCATCAAACTGGGCAAGCCAAATAGAGCCCGAGCTTGAGCTTGTGCTTGAGGCTGATGACATCAGCATTGAGGCTAGGCTAGCGTCAGCGCACGGGATTCAAATTTTTTTACCGTTGGTGCGTGGAAATTTCAAAATCATATGTGCTGACGCCAGCATAACATCAGCCCTGCTTTCCGCCAACAGCTACAAGCCACGTGTCATGTTTTGGTGTCTCTAATCCTAATTTTTCCTCCAATCCAACGACTACCAATTTTTGTGTAAAAAAAAATTGACAAAAAATTCGAATTTTTTTTCTTCTATAAATACCTACCAATATTCTTCACTTTCTACACCAAATCTTCATACATTTTGTTCTCCTTCCAATATTATTCACTTTCCACACCAAATTTTCTTCACTTTCCAAATTTCATTTGTGTAAATATACTAATGGCATCTTCTATCGAAGCCAGAGGCTCGTGGACAACCATGAAAGATGTTTTGTTGTGTAAGTGTTGGGTCCAAGTTGATCATTGCCCGATCACGGGAAATGAGATGAAGTTCTCTCATATGTGAAGAAAAATTTGGAAGATCGGGTTCCTCTCGTATGGAAATGACCTTGGCTAGTAGGTGAATTTTTTTGAATAAACAGTTAGGGAAATGGAGAGATGCATTTGCAAAAGCGAGGGACAACATTCAAAGCAGCGAAAATCTTGCCAACGAGGTGAATTATTTGTAATTGCCATTTTATTAAATTTAATGTCCTAATTTTTGAAATTTTATTGCATTTCAATTTTTATATATTATAGATTATGCAAGCACAAATGTGGTTCAATGCCATTGACCAAGGTAAAAAATCTTTCAACAATCACTAATGTTTATGAGGTTGTGAAAAATTATTTGAGATTCAAAATTATTCCCACGAGTCCGACTGTTGTGTTGAATGAGACATCGCTCCACGATTCAACGGTATTGGATTCGCCATTGGAGTCCCCGATAAATCAAGACTCATCAATCCAAAGGGAGCCGATGCCTATTGGGAGAAAGGTGACAAATGCCAAGAGAGGAAGTAATTCCACCAATGATTGTGCAAAATTTTTGGAGCAAATTGCTCTGAACGGCACAATGAGAATTGAGAGAGACATTAAAAGAGATGCGGATGAGAAGGCAAGAGATGAAGCATTTGCAAGAGAAAGAGAGTATGCACACAAACAAGACATGGATATGAAGAATCAGAAAACCATAACCATGGATACAAGCCATATGCCCCCTAAAACAAAGTAATTTTGGAAGTTAGAACGAATGGATGTTTTGAGAAGAAGGCTTTTCCGTGACGATGGACCAAGGAACACCGATTGGTTAAATGATGAAAACCATTAGGTTGTATTGCTTGTCTTTTATTTAATTAGTTGTATTGCTTGTATTTTATCTAATTAGTTGTATTGCTTGTCTTTTATTTAATTGGTTAAATGATGAAATTTGATATGTGAATTTTATAATAAAAATGGACACGTGGTAACTGAAAATCTTATCCGAAAATTTTGTTCAAAAATTTAATTGGAAATATGAGATGTGAATTTTATAATAAATATTGACACGTGGCAACCGAAAATCTTATCCAAATTAATCGTTTAAGTTAAATAAAAAATAAATATTAAAGTGAATAGTATTTGCCCTTTGCTATGGCAATGGGTGGAAACACAACAAGCCTTTTGCAAGAGCTGATACTATTCATATGAATAGTAACAGCCCTTACCTCCCCTTGCTCTTTCCACTCATGATCCATGGCAAAGGGAAAGGGCAAGTAAAGGCAGGCACTATGCACATGAATAGTGGCTGCCCTTGCAAAAGGCAAGTTATGTTTCCACCCATTGCCATGGCAACCTAATGGCAACCACTATTTACTGGGATTAAATTTATTTATATGTATGAGATTAATAATAACAAAATTGCTAGGCATGTATAAAAAAATGTTTCTGAATTTTTTGGAAATTTTCATAATTTTTTTCGATTTTTTATAAAAAATTTACGTTGATGACATAATCGCCCTCAAGCAACAACTCAGGTAGGGATGACAAAAATCCCAGCGGGGGCAGGTCTCCTTTGGGTCCCCGACCTTAACAAGAGAGATTTCGGAGCAAAACAGGTATCAGATACGGGAATCCCCGAACTTGAAAAATCCCCGACTAGTATGGGGAGGGGATGGTATTGGCGTCCCCGTCCCCAAACCTGACCCGAAAATATATATGTTTATATTTAAATAAATAAATATATAATTATAATATTTATGTTTACCCTTAAGTTAACCTCCCTTTCCTAATTCTTCCTGGTCTTCAGCTGCACCTCTCTCTCCCCCTCTCTCTTCTCCTAATTCTTCATAATCCTAATCTTCTCTGTATCTCTAGTCTCAACTCCCTTTCCTAATTCTTCCTGGTCTCCAGCTGCACCTCTCTCTCCCCCTCTCTCTTCTCCTAATTCTTCATAATCCTAATCTTCTCTGTATCTCTAGTCTCAACTATCAAGTCTCTCTGTATTTAAACTTTATCGCAAGTCTTGATTACAAATCCACCGTAATCTTTTTTCTCTATATAATATATATGTGCTTGGCAAATGGCATTTTTATGTGTAGAGAGAATATTGTTTAAGCTGAAAGTCTCAAATTCATAGAGGCCTTTGGTGGAGATTTGTTCTCAGGAGAATCTTGTCCACCTGTTATGTATTCATTTGATTTTATGAAGGAAAAAAAAAAGGATTGGGGGCGGGTATGGGGGATAGTCCCCCGACAGGGACAGGGACGAGGATTCCCCGAAACCTATTAAACGGGGATGGGTTCGGAGATTGGGACGGGGATGGAGAGCGAAGACGGGGATGGTATTGTCATATCCGGCCCCTACCCGACCCGTTGCCATCCCTAAGTTCAGGCTGTTTTTGCCTTTGTGCCTGCCCAGGCTTGTGAAGCCCACATCTGCCCAGTCTACTTGCTGCATGCTGGAGCTTGCTTCACGGGCTTAGGGGGTCTCTTGCCCGAATTTGGGTGTAGCGCTGGAAGTGCTCTAATTGCCTGGCCTAGCTAGTATACTTTTCTGCATTTCATTTTCAGGTATATTCTAACTTTTAAATTAATTTTCACGTGGGAAATTCAAATTTACACTCTTATATAACCAAATCCACGGATGATCATACATCTGTCCAACATTTGTTAAATTATCTCCAACCATATTTGCTTCTCGAAAGATATACCGAAAACAAAATGGGAAATTTGATTTAAATATCATGGACAACAGAATGAATGTTTAAGAGTACTTGAATATCCTTATTGACAATTTGTATTAAAACCTTCGAATCTCCCTTGATCTCTAAATTGGAACGTCGTAGTCTAAGAGTTGTTTGAAGAATACGACGAAGAGCCGGTTGAAGAGTACAGCAGGGGGTTGGACGGGGAAGAGGGGGCAATGGGTGGGAGTTGAGATCTAATAAGAGGGATATTTTTTGTTCCTTTCTTTTTTCGTGAGGGAAGAACTGGTTTCACCTTAGGGCACGAAATGAAGTCTTTGTTCCTTTCTTTTTTCGTGAGGGAAGAACTGGTTTCACCTTAGGGCACGAAATGAAGTCTTCTCCCCTACCTCCCTTCTGCATCGGCAGCTATTCGCAACTGCCTTATCTGTTTTGCTTTGCATCTCTTAAGACCTCATGATCAGCATTACCTCAAGGCCAACCTAGACAAGGCTTTCTAAAACCTTTGTATTTATATACATGAGCATATACATTCCGTCTGAAATGTTGTCAACATTATTCACGGATGACACTGATTATCACCTTTTTAACGGCATATTTGTCAAACACTTTTACTCAACTCTCTCCTCCCACTCCGTCCCTCTCAGCAGCCTTCTCCCTTCACCTCTCATCCATTTTCCCTGAACTAGTTCTTTCTTGTTTGTTCCTTCCTGCCAAATCTATTCATAAGCTTTAGAGGCCGAACATACCAAATTTGTGAACGAGTCTAATATTTTATTCATGTTTGATTTGGTTCCCTTAAGTATGACCTCGAACGTGCCAAAGCAGGCTAAGCACAAGACGACCTCGACCTATCAAGCCAATTTCAATCATATACATGATTACAACCTTATGCAGGGTGTGCTGCACAACTGCTGCTGCAAACTATTAGAAATGAAGTAAGAAATGCACAGAATTCAAGCATTCTTGTCTGTCACTGTTACAGACTATAAATCCAACATTATAGTAGAATGGTAATAATCCCTAAACTTAGCCAAAAGTTTCCCAGAAACTCACTCTGTCCCAGAATTCATTTACCCCCGCGCCCTTATAATCCTCAAATATTCTTATTGCGCTCCATCCAAATTGTTCCAGGAAAATGCCAACAAGCAGCACCTGCATAATGTTTTGGCTTTCTTCCCCCTCCCAAAACCCTCAAACTTGGTGCTCAGAAATTCAAAACACCCCTTTGGGATAACCCATCTGGCTTCATCTCCCTAAACAATTTCCACCACAATTGTAAAGAACAAGGGCAAGGAAAATAAAATATTCCAACTCTGCAACAATGGAAACTAATTCCAAAATACTCTCCTCTCCATCAATTCAAATTACAAGATCCAAACTAACATTTGTCAGAAGTTTGTTTTTCTGAAACGAAAAGATGAAACTTTACATCGTTAGAGAAACTGTGCAATTTAGTGGACAAGTAATCCACCAATTGCAGAAGAGAAAAGAACATTAATTCGGCAAACTACATCTTGCTTAAGAAGGCAAAATTAATTATGACACTGCAGCTTTCGTATCTAGAATAACATTTGACAGAAGTAAGAATGTTGAGCCATTAATTAATAAATAAAAAAATATCTTTCCTCTAATACCCATTTCTCAGTAACAGCTGACAAAACAATAATTGGATGGATCCAACATAACACAAGGGGTTATGCAACTAAATGGGAGAAACTAAAGAAAAAATGACTTTGAAAAGTTCAAATTGCACAGAGCAAGAAATACAAAATGCTTAGAATTGACATATGGTACCTTCAAGCTGCAACCCTCTGGCAATATCCTTAAGTGAAACAAAGCTTGGAACAAAAAGTTCAAATTGCACAGAGCAAGAAATACAAAATGCTTAGAATTGACATATGGTACCTTCAAGCTGCAACCCTCTGGCAATACCCTTTGTTTTTCGTTGTCTCTGTTTATGAGGTTTCTATGAAATTCAATTGACCCCCGTTGTTGTGGGAGTATAAGCCTGCAATCTATCCCGATGTATCCCCAAAACTTGCCCTTCCTCAGTAATAGCTTTCAACATGAAAGTGCCAAAATAACCAACTGGGTTTTTATACTCGTGCTCTTTAGTCCAAGACTCCTTCACCCCATAATCCTTCATCACCCAAACACTGATAACATCTCTCAAGTTAACGACAGAGAGCCAACCTTTCAATACTCCGAGCTTAAAACAAATTGTTCTCGGATCATAGGAACAAGGTGGTAGTGGTAACTCTTGGAACCGCTCACTTTCAACATCAAAGGCCCATGCCAAACGAGACGGGTCCCTGTACCCAATCCAATGAAGAAACCCATTGACATAAGTCCCATGATCATTCATACTATCAAAATAGTTTTGGTAGACACAAGGTTTCCCCAACGTTTCTCCATCAAAAGAGTCGGGAGGGTGTCCAATGTCTCTCCAAATCCCAGAGCCAACAGTCAAAACCATTACTTGTTTATGTATAGGCATAATCCGAACTAGCTTATAGACATCACTGATGGGGCTGAACCCAAAACCATAACGGCCTCCAACTGTATCAAGGGTTGAAGGTGTTGGGAGAGATAAAAACTCACCAGTAACAGGATTGGAGATGTAGAGATGATGGATCGCCCCAAGATGGACTTCGTGGTGGCAGAGGAAGCCGTTGCACGAGCCTACAATGCTCCTCTTTCTTAAAGTTCGGAGACTTTTTTATACAGAAAAGCTTCAACACGACGTCTTTTGGGTTGCAGTTCCTGTCGAGGTCGACCAAGAAGTGACCCAGGCACGAGTATCCAGTGATCAAAATAGAAGCAGGCGTTCGTGAAAATAGTTCTTTGGTGAATTGAGGGTCTGAGAGCCAACAACGCCAAGACTTGCAAACTCGCTTGCATTGGATGAGAATTTTTGTTGGGATTTTGCGGAAGATCTCCATTATTATGTGCTCTGGCAATTGCGGAAGGTAGGGTTTCTGTTCATGCTCTTCTTCTTCATCGTCGACTTCTTGTTTTGGGAGTCTGCTTCTGTTGGTTGGTGGTAGTTTAATTCTCTTCATTGATCGAAGCGCTGTCGTTGCGGTAGGCTGGCTAAGATCGGAGCAGCGTCTCAGAGTTTCAGCTTGAAGAAAGCTTCTTCAACCCAAAGCTTCGGTACAACCGAAGAGCTGAAATGAACTAAAATGGGTATGACTAAATGGGCCTGGCGGTGTGTAAATCGTGCGGCTCAATTGGCTGCTAAGATAGGATCGCGAGCGGTGGAACCTGAGTGTTGGGTCGAGAGACCACCACCGTCTCTAGTTGGTGTGTTGGTGTCTGACGGCCTGCCTTGCCCCCTAACTTTTTGATTTTTCTGTGTCTGAGTTCCTAGTGTGTTCTCCGTGGCCCTGTTTCCACCTTGGTTGCGTTTATCGTGTTTACTTTCCCTTTGTTTTTCGTTGTCTCTGTTTATGAGGTTTCTATGAAATTCAATTGACCCAAAAAAAAGGGCCTCGCTAATGGGTATGATACCCTTTGGTATATTTTTTGGAATTTTAAATTAATTGGAAATTTTAATTTACACTCTTTTGTAGAACTAAATACACAAGAAATTAGCATACATGGGTTTGCCCAAATTGGTTAGAGCAGATATGCTCTCCATTATACACCAGAGTTCGAATCTTCCTCCCACGCTATTGGAATATTCTTATTAACAATTTGTATTAAAATGAAGAGTGCTGCTATTTTTACCCCTTGTTTTATCTCTGCTTCCATTAAAGGATGGGAAAACTATAAGTTATTATCTTCAAGGTGCAAGGAAAGAGAGTGTTGGTGTTTTATTTTATTTTATTTATTTATTTATTTATTTTAAAAATTTACATGATAGGTGTATAGATAAAGTGGAAGTAACAACACTCAAAATGAGTCCTACAATTACAAGCATAATGGAAAGAAAACTCAAACTACATGATGCTACCATTTACATACAACTTATTCTCATTGATTTAATGATGAATGTTGTTGACAAGGTGAGGAATCATTGATTGAAAATCAAGAAATACAACTAGGGGGGCATTGAACCTTACCGAGGCTCATAAAATCAACTAACATGCGTCCTGAATAAAAATCAGGGGCAGTTCTACTCAAAACAAATTCAAAATCGTCGTGAGTCAACTTCCATAAAACAGGAATTTGTTTTTGGGAAAATACCATTTGTTTTAGAAGTCATATAAAAATCACGAAAATTAGTAGCAGAGGGTAAAACAAAAACAAAAAAAATCAGGAAGAAAAATATGACGTAAACAAAATTGATTTGTATTTTTAATCCCTCTGGCAACATCTGTTTAAGAAGGGGCTCACCTTACCTTATCTCAGGAAGAAAAATATAAGTAAGAAATGCACACATAAGCATTCTTGTTTGTTACTGTCACAGAATACGAAGACCAAATATACGTACCATAAAAATTACATTAAATTATTACAAAATTACATATAAACGTATACAAGATTACAGCCAGGAACTTAAATAAACGAAGGAAGTTGAAGTCTTGCACTGGCTACTGTTCCTTGTACCTAGGATATATGCTGCTTTTCATATACAGATATGCAAATCTACAGATTCTAATTAATGAATGAGGTCTGAAGAGATAGCAAGGAACTTACATAAACAAGGACTCAAAAGTTTATTGGAATGCTACATACCAAGGGCTTGCTAAACTTATTTCATAAAAAGTACATGCACTTCAAAGTGCTTCTTCAAATTCCTGGATAAGAGGTTTACTTATACAGACTCTCTATTTGCTCCTTGTACTGTGCCACGACTCTGTCCCTTCGTATTTTCATAGTTGGAGTCATTAAACCACTATCAATCTGCAATAAAAGGGTACAATTAATCAGCCAGCCAGTCACATCTGTAACTGGAATGACAATGCTTGCAACGATATTTTACCGTAAAGGGCTCATCCACAATCAAGATTGGTCCAATTTGAAATGAACACCCTGAAGTCCTGCATGAAATTAAAGGAAAACTATAAGGAAAAGAAAACATCAGAGTGCAATAGCCTACAAGGTCTGCTATAGTTGCTTACTGGATTTGGATGGCCTCTGATGGCCATAGGCCATAGACCCTTTTGGTTTCTTAAGTTTCTATGATTGTTTAAATAGCATGGTTTTATGTTTTTTCTTTATGAACCTCGACGATACGAGGGGGTTTGATGGTTTTTTAATTATGACAATTGTTTGCATGAGTATATAAGAAGAAACATATTTTTATTTCCAAGATAACCAATGATTGAGTAATTAATTCTAGTAAGCACAATAAGTTGCACGTTGAGCCAAGGTTTGACATGCACAGTCACACAGTCCATCCATTATATCCGAAATAATTGAAAAATAAATTTTACCATTTTCTTAATTCTTCATATAGCAGGCTGGTCATTTTATCCTTACTGAGGTCTGAGGCATTAACATCTAAAATAGACAACTTTTTGGCTGCAAGTAAAACCTCTTCTTTGTTTGGAACAATTATTGCCCCAAGTCGCCGTTGATCCTACATACAGGAATGCCACCAAATGCATAAAATTAGTACGTGGCCTCTTAAAAGTGGCAAAATATAGATAACTACAGTTCTGGAAAGTCCAATACAGAAAAAGGAAAAGAACAAAAGAAAGCTGCTGAAACTCAACCTGGCCGACCACAACAATTTGTTGAAAGAGACTACTTCTCATGGCAGCCTCCTCAAGCTCTACTGGTTCAACGTTTTCACCTAATTTTTCAAGCAACTCGTGTCAAAGAACAACCAAAAATACCAAGTAGGGTATTAAGAAGAAATAAAAAAGAAATGAAAATGAGTACTAAGTTATAAGATCGGCATCAACTAAAATACCTCACTAAATGACTGCTTTCAGATTTTAGAATATGGAAACCATAGATGCCCTGACCCACATCCAAGCAACTTAAACTTTTGGGAATAGTGTTCGTCCAAAAAAATAAACTTTTGGGAATAGTGAAGCCAAGTAAATTTGAGATCGGCATGAGCAAGCAACTAAAAGCTCTTAATTTGAAATGTAAATGAATAAATAGATAGAGGGGAGCTGGCAACTTTAATAACCCGTTCTTGAAGAAACACAAATTTCCATGTAGGATGTCCATCAATATATAACGGGCACTACACACCACATACATATAAAAGATCTATACAATTTACAAAGTATGAGTGTCACAAGCCCAAGAAAAAGAAAATGCTGAAAGTTAAACCAAATGGCATGGAAGGTAAAAGGCACGTGGGCAATTTTCAAGTAAGTGAAATTGGCTTGGGTAATTCCAGGCCTGGTGTTCAACCTCACTGAGTGAAAGACAAGTGGGTTTTTGGAGGTGGGAAGAGGGTTAGAGTATTATTCAGGTGCAGAGTTTTAGCGGTAATTTGGGTGAATGACAACAGAAGAATTTTGAAAGAGTCTTAGGAGGCGGAGGTGGAGGAGCTGCACGATAGCGTGGAGTTGTTGTCATCCTTATGGGCATCTATCAATAATATTTTTAGAGATATCTGTCTGCAATTCTATTAGATGGGAAGGCAGCAATAAGCTATGATTTAGTGGGTATATGGATAAGATACAGGATAGGAATTCCACTATTTTCTTTTGATTCTGTATTTTGACGTGGGTTTATTGTCCACAGGCTGTATTGCTTGATTTCTATTAAGGAAGGTTTCTTTTTCAATAAAAAAAATCATATGAAATTTAGGGTTTCTATTTCAAGTATTCACTTCCTAACAAGAAGATCCATGACACTGTAGCAGAAGAAGATTAAGATTTTAGTATACCTGTTGAAAGGACTATAGTATCCTTTGCGCGTCCTTCCAGGACAACAACACCTCCACAACGACGGCTTCGCCCTGTTGAGTGGTGAGGAGCAATCCAACCAATATCTCCAGTATTCAGCCAACCATCCTCATCTAGTACTTGCTCTGTAGCCCTTGAATTCTAGTTGAAGTGTGAATGCAAAAAGGTCACTTGACATCTTAGGTACAGAAAAAGTTTCATGAATTCTGATTATAATATTAAAAATAAAATTCAAAAGTGCAAAAAATCAGACATTGTTCAGAAGAAGACTAAGAATTAGAAGAGAAAGGTCACTTGAAATCTTGAGGACATCATGCTAAACCAGTTCAGTACCTCACATGGTAAAACAATTAATCTGGATTGCTCCCTAATGAATACTAGAAGACTACTGATGATATTAAAAAGGAGTTTAGAAAATCTTTTCTGTGGGGACAAAGACTCTTAAAGAAGAACATACAAGATTCCTGGTTATGAGGCTCCGTTAAGAATGTCTATGTTATGTCTTACGAAGATTTCCCTGGTTCCAGATCACACTCATGCAATTTAGATATAACAGAGCATCTCAAGAAGAACGCACGAGATAAGCTTTAATAACTTTTCTTCGCAGTATTATAATACCCAAAGTTTTATGTCATTACCAAGTTTGCAGCATTTTAAATCCATGGAACTTATTTATACAAAATGACTACAAAATTTTTAGCATGTATCTGAATAATTCAAAATTTAGAAAGCACATTTTGATTAACTAAAATTAATGTCACCTTATAGTATCCTTTCATCACTTGTGGGCCCCTAACTTTTACAATGCCAGTTGAACCTGGTAGGAGAACTTCACCGGTTTCAGATTCTACAACTTTGAACTCTGTATGTCGAATTGGAGGCCCAACTGAACCAAGAACCTTAAAAAAAAATATATCATTGACATTGTCATACAATGTACCACTGTGTGCAGAAAAAAAAGTAGACAAACAACAAACCACATGAAAACAAACAAAAGGGAAATAAATTGACGTCTAAGAAGTGGTTAGAGTTTATGATACTGAACTAGTAATTCCAATTTTGAAAGACTTATTCAACCAACTAAAACACAATTGAATATTTTGGAAAATAATTTATATAAGCTAAAAAATTAAATTAAGATATGGTAAATAACTCTCTATTAGGAATAGGATTAATTCTAGCAACAAAGGAAGTAAGTCAGTGATTGTTTATGGTAACAAGATAACCGCCAAGATTTGTGAACTTGTAATATTCAAAACTGATTCTGTTTGAGAACAAACTATCTTACCCAGAAATTCAGAGCCATGCATAAAATATATAGATCTTCGGTCTTTCCACCCATTGCTCATTGGTTTTGGGTTAGGTACTATAATTCTATATGGTATCAAAGCAGGCAAACTGAGCGCCAAACTTACTGGTGACATATGCTTATTCACCCAATATAATCTGTCCATGTGTTTGGTTCAGTCATGCCACACTTGAGGGGGCATACTGAGAATAGAATCCCACATTGGGAATTCCAAGCCTTGCACCACAATATATAAAATATTGCGCCTTTCATCACTTACAATCACTTTTTTTTCTTTTTGACATTTACAAGCACTGAGAACAAATTAGGGGACTCCAAGTGATCCTATTGATTATCATCATAGATCTTAGAATATTTTTGTCAATACAACTTTGAATTTAACTCCTACAAAGCAACGATAAATTTTTCTGAACGGTACTTGTTTATTTTATTCTATTTTCTGTTATCACATGCATTATCATAGGTGCCATTAACCAAAAGGTAGATCTTGTACATTTTAATGTGAATTAGATTGTATTTCTCACATTACAGTTTGGCCTACGAGCAGCAATAACAGGAGAAGTCTCTGTTAAACCATATCCATTCTGCACTTTCACACCAATTGCCTGCAAGTGTACAACAGTAATATGAGAGCTGATTGTCCAAAACTTCTCTCTGGCCAGAAAAATATGTCTGAGAGTCTGACCTCAAAAAACTTATCAACATGTGGCGGCAAACTGCCTCCTCCACTAATGCCAGCCTGAAGGATGTGAAGGAAACCCCGTCATTCCAGTCAACAGCAAAATTGCTAGTTTATGAACGGTATATACTTAAAAAGATCCAGAAAAAGCAACAAGAGAATACAAATTTTCCTCGGAAAGCATAGAGACTTTTGCAAATGAGAAACAAAATGTAGAAACTAACTGAGTAAAATAAATAATCTAAAAATATGATGACCACTGATATTCCGGTGATATGTGAAAGAAACCCACAAAATACCCACTTTTCACAATGTTAAATTCCAATAAAAAGGAGGTGACTACAAGAAATGATTTAGAAATAAGACAACCTTTGATATTCCAATAGCTGAGTGAATTTTACTATAGACTAGTTTCTTTCCCAACATATGCAAAGGCCATAAGATTGCAGCAACAATTCTTGCCCATAACCAATCATATACTGAAGCAAGATATGATGGTTGCTTCTGGTTCCTCGTCAAATATGTCCCCTATCAACCAAATTGAAAGAATCGGATACAATAAGATCGAAAGGAAAACTAATTGTCTACAAACAACACATTAGACATAATAAGATCAATAATCAAGTTCGAAACCAGTTGTAAATCAGTTTGATACAAGATGATAGTGAAAGATTTACCAGAAGATTCAAATACATTAGCCAAACCAAGTATTTTTGTTAATTTTTTATAGGACAGTCAAACAAAATTATGAAGCAGTAGATTTATTACAAAATACCAATTTAACTGGTGGGTCACACATTTTCAAGGCTGCATAACTGGTTTAGTTATTGATGTTTTCGGAGTGAACGTATATTCTAATTAGGATCAAGGATGAAAATATCGGTGATACAGATATTATCGGGCCTTCAATTTACGGATATTTCGGGGGATATATAGATGTCGTTTTAGGTATCCAGGAAAATCGACAAAATAAATACAATTAGACTTAACACAACAAAGACAACATTATTCAAACAAAACCCAACCCAACCGATTAATACATAACCCAACATTATATTACAAGAGTTAGACTTAATGATAAAGGAATTGAGAGATAGAAGATTAGGTGAAAAATAAAATCAAACAAACAAGAAACCGAGCAACCAGACAGAGGAAAGGAAGAGCCAAAGATAGCCAAAATGACTGAGGAGAGAAGAAAGGAGAAGCTACTAAGTATTAGAGCTTGGTTTTTGACATTGATTCAATGGCTGGGACCTATGATTACTTTCAAAACAGAAGACAAATTTCTGGGTTATTTCTCTGGTATAGGGGAAATATCGGTAAATATCGAGGATATTGGGGGTTATTGGGGATATATTGCCGATAAGGGGGAAGAAATAGGCTTACCCCCCTGTGTCTATATCGACACCTAAAAAAAGGGATATATCAGCCAATATATCGGGATATCGGCCGATATTTTCATCCTTGATTAGAATTCTGGAGTGGTTTCCTAGTTTGTTTACAGGTGTGATCAGTATTCTATTTGAACCCTTTTAGAGTTATAAATTAATGTGTTCTATTCTCCCTTTTTTTCTCAACATGGTATTGGAGCATCAGTTCAAAAGCATCCTCCAAAACTGCTATCTAAGTTGACATTTGGAATCTTATGCCTCACTTAAGGTACTTGAAAAGTCTAAATCTCTCCACCGCATAGCTGATGTGGGACCCAAAGTATTACATTGTGATTCAAACTTGGCTATTGATAATCCTACCCACAAATTTAAAATATATATCTGCTCTGTTTTGATGCTGAAAAGTGTTTAGCCCCGTCATTGCGGTCAACTACATGATGCCATGAACGCACACAATGTCTTTGTGTTGTAGATGCAAGTAACATCATCCATCTTGTGGGTAGGCACATGATGTCCAAGTTGTTATAGTAGGCAAAATTAATTTTAGTGGGTTCTTCAAGTGGAGCATCAAAATTTTAAATTTAGAAGTTTTGGTTGAAATTGTGACTAACTGATTCCCTTTCAATTTGAGTGACTGAAGATGTGAATATCACATTCAAAGAAAATTCATGACTCATAGTCACAATTATTCAAATTGGCCAATTTATAGCTGACTTTCACAAGTTAAGTAACATGACCTCTATGACCTGAAATCAAAGAACCTCCGATGCTTAAGTTAGACTTGAGAGATTCCAGAGTACTAAGTTTTGTAACTTTAGATCACGTACCTCAAATAGTTGAAGGCCTTGGTTATTTATACTGTTCCAAGTAGTCTGGATTGTTCTCAACCATTGATGGTTATGTAGCGTGAATCTAGAGGTTGAGTTGAACTCAAATGTCCTGTCCCTCGCCAACTAGCCGTTTGGCTTGGGAGTGCGGGTGGTTATTTGGTGGAGTGACCCGAATTTAATGGATCACTAACAGCTTGAGGGGAATTTTAACCAGTCATGTTCTGGCTCCAATGATCTCCTTTCGATCGTGGAGCCCAAAAAGGCTTGCTAGCCCTTTCAGGCTTATTACCCTCAAGCCTGTCTGGGCTTGACAAGGGATTTCTTGGCCCAATGCATGGCCCAAGTTTTACCTTATCCAACAAAGGAGCTTCCTACAGAATGGCATCACTCACAACCTAATTAATGTGTAATTACGTGTGTGCTCTTTCCAACTTCTTGGTCAAGGTTATTTCCATCTCTTTGCATTGATAGAGTCCATGTTTAAATATCTTATTGGGTGTAGAAAATGTGTTCCCACTTCCCACAGTGTTCATATTATCTGTTTTGTATGGCCAATGAGAAAAGAAAATAGCTGGATCTGAACACGAAAAAATGCTGAGTGTTGTACCTCATAAATCCTCTTAAACTCCATGTATGCTAAACTGATCCTTATGAATGTAAGTGCAATAAACTTACGAGCTGCAGAGCTTGTAGAGATCTGTTTCTGAATCCCACTGCAAAGAGAACGTAGATGACATAAACAAAAATATTAAAGAAAAGAAAGGAAGAAGCTATGAGAAGGAATTAGTTTACTGTACCAAAAAAAAAAAGGGTTTTAGATAAGCAAGATCGTGTCATTTAGATAAGCAAATTCATCTATAACAATAAGAAACACAACCGAAAAACTCCTCAGCCTTGCTCAGAATGAAATTTTTGTTGTTGTCTAGATAAGCAATATCATGTCGTTTAATATGCTAAAATGCTGAAAAGTTAAAGTTTAGAAAGCTAAACCTTCTTCAAGAAGAAATCTGAAAAGAGAACTAGTGCTCTGATGTCATAATAGTAACCACTCAAGGCTCTATTTATACCCACCTTTAGAAACAAAAATAAAATAATAATTACAAAAAACAAAGAGTTTTAACAGTAACCCTAATGAAAAGCTATCTTTAACAAACACAAGAAATGAATAATTTTTCTACAATATTTTTAAAGTTGATGATATGCGAACGTTGTAACCACTTGAGAGATCACAAATGCTTTTCTCTGTAACAAATGTGTGAGACACATTCTGTGACGAACGTTAAAAAACAAAACAAAGAGAACAGAACAAGGTAAAGAAAAGGACACACGTTCACACAAATAAAAAAAGACAGTTGTCCAGAACACTTTTTCATGGAAAAAAAAAAAAAAGCAGACATATGCAGTGCCATAATTCCCAAGAAAAGGACATACCTGTAAAGTGTCTCATACACTAAAGGAACTGAAATTATGTAATTTGGTTGATAATGTCGCAAATCATCCTATCAAATAATATATTCAATTAGAACATCATAAAACCAAAGAAGCATATCATATAATTGGATGTGAAATAATTAGTTTTTTCCCACTTTACATCACGCTGACAATATTCTTGTAATTTTTCAGACTGCTGGAAAAAGTTAAGGTAAAGTTATTTCCAAAGAAAAAGTTGTTAGAATTGGATCAATATGCAAGCCACATCCACAACCTCCCATTCATGTACTTGCTCTGGAAATAACATTTCCTAAGAGTATAATAATAATATAGTAAAGCAAACAGATCAACTTAACATCCATGAAAATCAGCAGCAATTCAAAATAGTAATACCTTCAAGTTCCTCACAGTTGTGTATACTTGCTCGATTCCGTACGTAAATATGAAATACTCACAAGCTCGTTCATAAGCATGCCAAGGTGGAAGCATGCTGAGAAATCTGTCCCCAACTTCAGCAGGTACAACATCCCAGAGGTTTTTTATCTGTGAAAAGAACAAACCAAATGGCCTCAAAACCGAGTTAAGAATTACGGGAAAGACATTCATTGGCTTCAATTATAAAATAAATAAATAAATGAAACTGGGGAGGGTATTCCAAAATGCAGTAAATTGTCTGCAATAGCAAAGCAAGGCAGTAGTGGGTACCCTCAGAGGCCAAAGGCATTGTCAGTACATTAAGTCATACATCATAAGTTAATGGACTCATGGTGAGATAGAAGTTCCATAGTACACACCAGGTTTGCAAATTATATGGAGACATTCTATAAGAGATTAATTATGTTAATTTGGCATTTGATATGATGTAAGGTTTGAGGGAGGGTTCCCTAATGAGTTTTTTTTTCGGGTTTTGTTTTATTTTAGATATTACTGCGTCATCAATAATACCAAGGTTATTCGACATACAAACCTGATGCAACAGATTTCGATGAGTAAGCATGACACCTTTTGGGTTCCCAGTTGTTCCACTTGTATATACTAGTGTAGCAATATCATCTGAGTTGATGGCTTCATATACATACTGTTGCTCTGAAATTAAGCCACATGCCAATTACAGCCCATTTACCAAAAGAGAAGAATATTCTATAACTAATAGCAGTGCATCAAAACTAGAATTAACAGCACAGTAATTTTTATTAAAGAAATACAGCCATCAAGTATGCCAAACAACATTTGCATTCCCAAAGTCTGATCACACTATAATCAATCTTCCATTACACTTTTAGCCCAAAAAAAAAAATTCTTCCATACCAGCCATATCTCTGTCTGGTTACCGCTATTGATACGTAACAAACATGAAATACACCAAGCAAATTTTGCTCTTTTTTTTCCCTTTTGTATATGAAATATAGAGAAGTCTAAACAACAAGTGAAATTGCAATGATATATCTTTATATACATATATACATACTTATAAGGAAATGTTCTCTTGTCAGACAGTGACATATTATGCTTCTAGACTGTTAATCTGAATCAATCATCAAGCAGATTCTTATTTAAATACGTGGGTCAATATTTTGGCAACATAACATGTCAGATTTTCAGTAAAAGAATACCACCGTGTATATGCCAAATCAAGCTTTAGGACTTATATCCTACTTTTCTATGCCTTTGGTTTTGGTAAACTCTTGAAGGTCATTGTCACTTATCTCTAGTGTTAAGTTTCTAATTACTGCGCAATTAGGTATCTTAAGTGTTAAGAAATGTTAATCATCTGTCAAAGATTAAAAATCAATAAATTACAGATGTTTTTTACATTAATAACATTCAAGTTTACTGTCATACGTGTCGATGACACACTATTTTCTCTTTACATGTGATATGAATATGATTATCCTATTCCAATATTATAAAGTTTACAACATTTATCGATGAATCATTGGCTGGCTTAGCATGTTCTAAAGTTTCATTTAACATTTCCATGTTTTAAAACTTTTCATTTATATTTCTATAAATCTGGACTTCCCATATTTCTACCAACATCAACATTTTCAACCATGTTTACATCAAAAAGCTTATGTTTTGTGCAATGCATGCTTTATGATACCAAGTGAATGGAAAACATAAAGTTGAAAAAGGGGTTACTGGACTTTGAAACCGAAGTTCAGGAAGGTCGACAGATGGATGACATACGTGCATCATTAAAATCAGGAGCACTCTTACGACTCTCTCTTCCCAAATCTAGAATCTCCCTGTAGTTAAAAACAGGGATCTTCCCTTCACTGGCCAGACTTGACTTGTCCCCCCAAAGCAGGATTACAAATTTCATGACAACCTTGGAACCGAATGCTTCTGCAATCCGATTGTATAATTCAGGACTGTCCACAGCAAGTGCAACACTGTAGTAGTGATGAAGTTAAACTTAAGATAGTTTCATGGTTTCATCAAGGATAAAGAGAAGGAAGCATGTGTTCACAAATACATAAATGTACATCAGCACATGATATGCATGTTTTTGTAGGTCCCAAGTGGTTTTTAATGATCTCAAAGCCATTTTTGAGTTAAAAGGAAAAAATAAAATAAAATAAAAGCTCCTACTAACCTCATAGAATGCATTGATTGTCAAAGAGACACTACTTCAACATTAGGAATTAAAATAAATAAAAAGAACTACACATGACAATGAGTAGCAAAATAGAACTCAATGAGACAAGCCATGTTACACATTAAGATTGGAAGTGAATTAAAAGATGCATATTATAAAACATAAGATATGTTATGAATCATATATATTAGTGAGACAACGATGGTGGAAATTGACTTGAATAAGCAAAACATAAAACTAAAGGGAGAGTTTTTCCCAAACCTCTCAGAGTGATCATATATTTGTAATAACTCTTCAACTGAGGACCTTGAACCTCTTACCACATTGATTGCTCCAGTGGCCATCATACCTAAATGAAAAAAAATAAAAAAAACATGAGAATGAGAACTACTATTCACTAATGAAATCTATTAATAAACAAAAATATAAAATTAAGTATCACGTGTAGTAGCTTAAATTGCTTTCATGTTTCCCTAGAATACGATTGAGCTGCTAAGCATTGTCTCAACTTTCATACTTTTTTATAAGAAACCACAATTTTATTATTAAAAAAACCATAAAGTACAAATAGTGAACAAGAAATCCACCAAAATACAACAACGAAAATCTTAAAACTAAGACACCTCTCATAACAAGGAGCACAATTCAGGATGTCAATGGACAGAAGGAAGCAACAACTCAAATTTTGGATGAACCGACGACAACAAAAACTATTCCCATAATACCATTTTAAGCAATGAGTGAAATCTTAACAACAAACTTAAAACAAAAATCCTATGCATTTAGTACACTAGTGAAATAGATTAGATTGAGCATAAAGGGCTGATATCCCAACAACACTTTCCTCACTTTTCCGCTCTGACCCTGTAGTAGTTCCAAAGTGATCTGAACATAAACGAAATCAAGCCAAACAAAAACCTACAACCATAATTCACAAGCGGACTACACTGGAAAAGTAAGAAATTAATTCCACAATCATACTCACACATCTAACATCAAATAAGTCCAATCATATCCCAATTGATTAGATTCCTCTGTGTTACAGTTCTAACTAAAGCTGCTGTCAACTTACAGAAAGACTCCTCTAGGTTACTCTGATAGGTGACATACGTTTTCACAAAAAAGAACTACTGCACCCCTTCAACTGCTTGCACATAATTTAACCTCAAAATCCTTATCCAAAAGGAAGAGCTGGATGAACTTGAGAGCAGTTACTACTACAAAGGGCATAAACCAAGGAACTGTAAATGCTTAAGAGGCCAAACCCAAAGCCATAAATCTAATATGGAGAAGAATACAAGATGGAATAGAGGATTGTTTTAATCACACATTCATAGGCCAAAAATGGTAAAAATGTACCCTGATCTGCAACAAGCCAACGGCATGAATTATCAGCAAAAAGTGCAATTTTTTCTTCAGGCTTTACTGCAGCAACTCTCAGGCCTTCAGAAAAATCCAAAATTTCCTCTACTAGCTGCAATTTCAAAGTAGTAGTATTTTATCTTCTTATTAACACTGGAAGACAGATGCACATTGGATTTATAAAAAGTAAGCATAGAAATAATCTTATAGGTAAGAAATCACTAAAATTATTTGATAGACGAGTAAATTGATAAAATGAACTAAGTTGGTCGACCCTCAATACTTATCACTGAGAGATGAGGACATATCAAATCCATGCAAAAAGTATAGCATAATCCATAAAATCAAATATAAGCTAACAGAAACATTTTCCTTGGTTAAGACTTTACACAGTTAAGCAAAACTACATTAAAAAGAAAGAGTGTGCACCCAGGAAAGTACAAAAAAAACAGGAAACATGTCTAATGACCCACGTGTTGCTTACCTGGTAAACCACAGCCCTCCCTTGCCTTCGCATTCCACTAAGAAAAACATCGTAGAATTTCGATCTAAATTTGCTATCACTATCATCCCAACTTAGGAACATTGAGAGCCTTTTCTAAGAGATATCAATTTTCAACATCAGATTTCTATTAATCAGTAAGCTGCACAGTAGTTAAGTGTTATTTAAATTGAAGGTCAATTTATTTATAATTTCCAAAATTTCAGAACATCTGGCAGTACTAAGAGTCCATTAATTTTTCTATTAGCTATAATTGCGGGTCTGTTTATAGGGATTTCAGTAGTTTTGATAGTATCAACTTTCACAGTTCCTGAATTTAGTCTTCAACTCACATCAGATTTAGAACTTAGAAAATATTTAGTAGCCTAATCATGTGTCTGTAAATATTTCGATATAGTGAAGAAAAAATTCAGAAAAATCTTCAAGCAACTATACTCCTTTTGAGAAGGCAGTTCTAACCAGAATCATAATCTCCAAAGAAATCTGTGTTAAGAAATATTTTCTTCCAATTCGTCTCTTTTCATTCGTTTTGAAAATCTTTCGATATAGAAGAATTAAGCAGAATCTTCAAGAAACTATGCTCCTTTTGAGAAGGCATCTCTAACCACAGCCATGATCTAGACAGACAACTGCATAAAGTAATTTTTTCTTCTAACTTGGACTTCTCCATTCTTTTTAAAATTATCAGATGAACAAGAAGCTCTTTTCCGTATTAATTTCCAGCATACCTGTAAGACTGAAACAACAATCCACACCTATTTTCTCAAGTTCATCATCAAACTCTACTTTCAAGACTCAAATACCATGTCCTTGAAACTAAATAACATATGGTAGCTAAGCTAAGTACAATATCCAGTACCTTCATCAAGTTCAATATGCAGTTTCATTCTTGCTCACTGATCCTACTTCAACCCACAAACTTGACAGTAATCAAGTGTACAACAAAACTAAGAAATTAGCCACCCACCCCTGTTAAGTTAACATTTATGTCATTCGCACAGTCAAACCCTTCAAATTATCACCATTTTCTAATTTGTGTTAACTTAAAATTGATCCCAAACTCCATATTACACACTAACAAACTGAAAACGCTAAAATGAGTATTAGTATTCCTAAATCCTAAGGCACAATCTTCACTAATATACAAAGGAGTAAAGAAACAAAAAAGAGGAAAAACAATTTTTTGATCCATTGCAGGCCCATGCAGGGTTCTGGAACAGGAAGTAAGCTCCTAGCAGAAGAAACAGGAAGTAATCCTTTCAATGAATAAACCCCCCATCCCCTTCTGAAGGAAGAAACTAATCCCCAAGCCATTTTCTTTATTGACACTGGAGAATTTAAGAGTGCAAGGAATGATGCTTTGGGACCCGAGGAGTTCCTTCAAAGTTCAGACACTTGAATATGGAGGCAATGGGATTCAGCATTTAAAAAAGAAAAAGAAAAAAATAGTCATGATAAAACAAATATGAAGGAGAGAATTAAAAGCGGAAAAGAAAACTAACCTGTTTATAAGTCATACTTGAAGGTGGATCATGGTATGGATCAGTCAATGCTACGCGATCACCATATCTCTCAGCTGAAGATCTCCAAATGTCCGGCACTGCCTGCCACTCATCGGACACAAAGGCACCATTCCTGTCTAGGAACGCACTTTCTAGAAATGGTGAATACCTTCTTATCTGCATTTCCTCTGTCTGTAACAGAATATTTTGAATACATATATATGTCAGTTCCCTCTATCTCTGTTTCAATCCATATATTTTGGATCATCAGAGCATATACATTGTCTTATTCCGTACTTAAAAATTAATCTGCAAGGCATCTGATATGAACATGTTCAATTTCTCTAATACCAAGCACCTGATGGCATAAACTAAACCTCACTTTTCAAATGTCTATGAATGATCTAAACCCCAACTTCTATTTCAGGAAAATGCCATCTCATGCACATTCTCACCAACACTGATAGAATTAGTAACATTTGGCAGGCAACATTACGAACCAAAACATATTAAAAAGAGCAGAAAAATGCCAATACAAATAAAAAAAAGACCAATCAAAGTAATAAATTCATCGAAATTCTCAAAAGGGTGTTCAAGAATCACCTTTGATTGGCAAAACACTCGGAACCCACCTCGCCTTCCATTCCATGTTCCAAGAAAGACTTGCCTGGTTCTGAATTTATAGTTAGGAAAGAGGAATTGAAGGGCATGCCCACAATGAGAAGAGCTAACCAAGACCAAGTTGTTCCTTAAGGAAATGGTGGCCATTTGATTTGCAGAAGCAGAAGAAGAAACTGTGGAAATCGGGTTTACCACAGCTCCGAACATAGCTCTGTTTTTGTAACTGTGGGTTTGACTTGATATGGATTATGGATATAGTCAGAAGGACAAAGAGAGAGGAAGCGAGAAAAACAAAGACAGGAGCTCATACTGTTTGACAAAGTGTAATGATTGGGATCTTTATCCGACCTAATATATAAATGTGATATAGATTGGGATCTTTGAAGTATTCGCCCATTACAAGTTGCAACAACCAAGTTTAAATAGTGAGGGGAATGTTTGATCAAAGTGCATCAATTGCTTCGACCCAAAAAAAAGTGCATAAAGTGGAACCCGTCGCGCGGACCACAAACGTTAATGTTTTGAAAAGTAGACAAGTTTTTATTTTTATTTTTTGTGCAAATTGGAATTTTTTAACCAAATTAAGAGGGCACAACAGTATCATCAAATAGGAAAGGCTCCAACCAAAGGCTCTTCAATCCAGGTTACAATAGAGATGCAGTTTAAAGCATGCTTAGCTAACATACGAGCAACCTGATTACAACCCCTTGGAAGGAAAAAAAACTGAAATATTCTCAAACTATTGCATACTCCTCTCTTAACATCATCAATGAGATGCGCATATGGTGCAAAAGAAGACTCCTCATCAATAATTAAGTTATTAATCTCTACTTGTGAATCAGACTCAAACATATGATAGAAGAGTGTTGGAAGTTTGAATGAAATTCAAGGACATTTGTCTCACATTGGTAGAAGGAAGAAAGGGTGAGGTCTTTATAACTGTGGAAGTCTCACACTTAGTGAATAGAAGTTGGGCCAAGTAAAACCCAATTAGGCTTTAAATTCGATTTGGGCATTAGGGTTTAGTGCATTTTAGTGCTTCAAATTTAATTATAAAAAAGATGGGCCTTGGGACACTTTAGATTTAAATTAATTAATTTTTTTTATTAATTTGGATTAATTTAATTAACTTTTTTCTAACAGTTGTGACTCTTCTTATAAGGTTTCATAAATTTATTTAAATTAAACAAAGCCCCATTCTTTAAACACATGGTGAGGTTTTTATAACTGTGGAAGTCTCACACTTAGTGAATAGAAGTTGGGCCAAGTAAAACCCAATTAGGCTTTAAATTCGATTTGGGCATTAGGGTTTAGTGCATTTTAGTGCTCCAAATTTAATTATAAAAAAGATTGGCCTTGGGACACTTTAGATTTAAATTAATTAATTTTTTTTATTAATTTGGATTAGTTTAATTAACTTTTTTCTAACAGTTGTGACTCTTCTGATAAGGTTTCATAAATTTATTTAAATTAAACAAAGCCCCATTCTTTAAACACAGAAAAAGCATTCTACAAGCACATTCATATTGTCTGAGAGGAAAACAATCAAAGTTCACCAGATTCTAAGTCCTAGTACTAGGACTTAGAATACAGATAGTTGAATCCTGGGAGGCAGTCACCGATCGAACTTCAAGCACCGAGAAGGGGTGAAATTACTGTCTTTAGGACATTGCATCAAATCTGCAAGCCTCTATCTCAAATCCAAGTCAGTTCATTTATTTATTATTTACTGTATTTCAAATTACAGTTTGTTATAAATTCAATTTTGTTGGTGTTTATATATTGTTGATATATATATAATCATTTTTATTAGTCACTGATTTTTGTTTATCTAATAAAGAGAACCCAGCATCTCGAGTGAAATTCAACTTGAATTGAAGTGCCTTAATCTCGGCATGCTTGGGGGAGGTGGTGGTGTCAAGGGGAAGCGTCATAGCCACCATTCACCTTTGTCATTTCTAATGACAGCACCAATTCCACCAACACTGGGAATATAAGGAGCATCTACATTGAGTTTAAATTTACCAATAGGAGGGGGAGACCATTTGGATGTTTTCTCAACAACTATATTAGACTCCCTTCTCATTAGCCCTCCATACTCCTCAGCCAGCTGCAATGCTCTATTAAAAATCATCTCCTCTGTTTGAGAGCAGGCTTCAAACACAACATTGTTTCTGTTTTGCCAAATACTCCAGCAGATGTATGCATGCAATTCAAATTTTGAAAGAAAAACAGTAGCAGCCTCAAAGAAATCACCATAAGTGGACAGATGCAGCCCTTTAAAAACCTCCACAAATCTCACTTTCTTCCAGACTTTTTGGGCACCAGGACGACTTTAAAACTGCATGAATAAACTTTTCAGAATTTACGTTACAAATTGGGCAAGAGTCATCATATACTATTTTCCCCTTGACTAAATTAGTTTTACAAGAAAGAGAGTTATGAATGGCCCTCCAATTAAAAAAACTGAGTTTGGGAGGTGTTGAAATTGGTAAAAATTTCATGGGTAAAAATTTCATGTGGAACCCATGTAGTAAATGGGGAGTACGTGGGTTAAGAGCAACTCCCCCCATTGGGGGGGGGCTAGGGCAGCCACTATTCACGTGAATAGTAGTTGCCCTTGCAAATAGTATTGTGTGTTTCCACCCGTTGCCATGGCAAAGGGCAATTATTATTCATTTTTTTTGTTTTTTTCACAAATTTTTTTACCTCAATAATTAATTTGGATAATATTTTCGGATAAGATTTTCGGGTTCCTAGGTGCACTAGCGGTCCCAAATTTTTTTTAGCGGAGGTGCAATATTGACTAAGTATGAAAAATGATTTTTCGGAATAATCATTTTCTCAAGATAATTTTTGGCGGCTTTTGTTCCTTACACATCAAATAAGAAAACTTGATTTTATGGGATTTTAGTATGAAATATATATTGACTTAATGAGCCATCATTTTTTGCCTAAATCGTATTTTGCACTAAAACCGATTTTTCATATTTTGATTTGGTGGGAATTTGATTTTCTAGTATTTTTATTTGAATCCAAATGGGGGGTACTTCCTTATTTACATTGTGAACTTAAGTAAATAGAGTAATATAAAAATAAATAAAAGTAAAAGGACAAAGACATTTACTTAAATGTTGAAAATGAAAATAAGGTCTTGAAAGATATTTACTCAGAATATTTTGGTATTTTTTAAAAAAAAATTCGATTTTTTTCCATAATTTTATTGTCAAAAAAATGTCAGCCGTTGGATTGGAGGAGGAGAAGCAGATCGGAACGCCCAGGCCTTGACACCTGTCTTCTACAGACTGGAGCTTGCGCTGCTTGCGCTGACGTAGCGCTGACGTCGTCAGCCCTCCGGCTCGAGCTCGGGCGAAACTGGCCTTCGAGCCAGCCGTCTTCGTGGGTCCCACTCCCAGCCCGGCTTGGGCTCCTCGTTGGAACTGGGTTTTTTTTTCTTCCCCCCTCAGCCTCTGTCTGGGCTTACCACTGGAGTTGCTCTAAAGGGAGGAAACAAGGCATGTGAAGCAGCTGGAAAAGAGAAATATGTTGGCTGCTGATAGAGCATGGCTCGAGGCTTCTTTATGAGCTTGGTGCGCATGTGGGCATGTGGCTGGTCCCTTTTTTTGGCATGTGGGTGTGGCTGATTTTGGAGAGAAAAATCAGCCTTCATTTATTAACTATTAAATGGGCACCAAAGGAGAATAGGTGCGGCTGCTTTCTTGGTGCTTGTCTGCATTCATTGGTGATTGAATAATGCCTGGCATTATTTGTCTTTGCTTTTCCTATTTAACAAGGAGGCTTGGCAGAGAGAAGAGTGTGTTTGTGTCACACCAAGGAGCCAGAGAGAGAGACAGAGAGCACGGCAGAGAGGAGAAATGGGAGGGAGTGGACTGCTTGTGAGATGCAAGCAAGCAGTCCCACGAACTCCAGGAGATGTTTCAGCTGGTATTTAGCTGGGTTCATCAAGGTTCAAGAGAGGATATATCTCTTTGAGAGAGAGTGTTTTTCATATTTATGAGAGAGGGTGTACAAGGGGTGTATCCTATTGGATACGGGACTCGGGTTGGGTGTAGAACTCTTGAGTGGTTAATTCTTGTACTTGTATCTTTCTCATGTTATAGTGAAGGTGGTGACTCTCCGGGGATGTAGGCAGTTCTTTGCCGAACCCCGTAAATTCTTGGTGTGTTCTCTCATGTATTTACTCATTGTCATCTTCAGCTTGTTGGTTTGTTTGTTTATTTCTTCCGTCGGGTTATGCCGTGATGGGGGGAAACTGGTGGTTCCCCAACACTAACTCCCTTGATGGCTTGCCTGATTTTCAATTCGAAACCATTCCAGATGGTCTTCCAGCTTCAGATGAGGATGCCGGCCAAAACTCCTATTTGCTTTGCGATTCCATCAGAAAAAAATTCTTGGCAGTAATTTAAAAGTCTTAATTGAATACCACAAGACTTATTTATCCCAAAATAGTCTTTTAAAATCCCAATTAAATACACCCCTTTAGAAGCTCGGAATCCAATAGCTAGTAAGGGAGAAAAGATTGGTGCTCAAGTGGTTTTTTCTTGATTGATTGAGTTTTGGATTGCCTTTGCAAGATTAGTTGTTTTCTTGAATATGATATGAGATAGGACCTGAACTTGCCCTCCTTTCATTTTTCAATATATTCATGTGGCTTTCTTTGTAGCTTTCGATTGATTACGTTTGTATAGTTACAAACAACTACATGTTTACATAATTCAAACAAATAATGGTGATCGTCATATATATTTAATGATATCTCTTGGTGCTTTTAGGTTTTCTGCCATTTGCTGTTTTTTTATATATTTTTGTTAGTTGGTGGTTCTTGACTTTGTCTTAACACCAAACATAAAAAATCAAATAAAAAAATAAAAAATTTGTCCCAATGAGCCGAAGATTCTGACAAAAATATTTTAGCCGCTATTTAAAAAAAATGGATGGTGACAATAAAATTACTATAAAATGGTGGTGGGGGTCCTCTATCTCTCCTCCTCTATCTTTGCATGGCTAGTATAAGGGAAAAGAGTCGTGCTCAAGTGGTTTGTTGCCTTGTTTTTTCTCGGTTGAGTTTCGGATTTGCAAGATTTGTTGTTTTTCTTGAATTGAATATTATATGAGATAGGACCTAAACTGGTGTTTGATAAGGACTGAAATGTTGTTTGCATGTATGGCCCTCGTTTCATTTTTCAATTCATGTGGCTTTCTGTCTTGCTTTTGAGTGCCTTATTAGTGATTGATTACGTTTGTATAGTTAGTTATATAAAAGTTACGTAATTCTAATAAATAATGGTGATTGCATATATGGATTTAATCAAGTTGGCTAGAATAGATGTGCTCTCTATTCTGCAT